TTATATATGTGACAGTTATTTTAAAAAATCACATAAATTAATATGCACCGAATGGTTTACCTTTGTTTTCGTTATATTTCTAATCTTTCTTTCCCAATGTATACGTGTACAGTAATTCAAAGTTTAGTCAAACCTTAATATTAAATATCAAAAATTAAAATCCTCAAGTTTTCAAATATTAATTTAGATAAAATGTAATTCAAAAATCATAATGGAATGATAAGCAATAAAACATGGATATAGTTGATATGACAAAAGCTTAATTTTGAAACTATACATTACGTTTAAATTTTCAGTTAAATTAATCAATTGTTGAATTATGCATATTGATATGTTTATTCCTTTTCAAGACTGAACTCATTTTTCATGATATTATCATTTACAAAAAAAATAAAATATTATCAAATTTATTTACGAACTTCGCAAGAAATGCATATGAAAAAGGACCAAATAGTAAGGTCCAAACTTGAGTTGTTTGGTAAATCAATATAGTACATTAGTAAATAAATAGAGACCCAAGTAGTACAAGTTTAAAATTCATTAATCATTTACAGCTAACTACTTTTACTAAGCAATGTGTATAACATCCTTAGTTCAGGGATCAAAATTTAGTGATTTAAGATTGAACATCTTAAGTGAAAAATCATATTGATATCGTGTCAAGATTCAAATGAAACTATAATAAGTCTCATCCTAAAAGCACAATTCTATAATTATACACATCGACAAAAAAATTGTCTTACCAAATATTATTTAATTACATCGATAAATCATTATTATTAATAAAATTTATCCGGCCAATGGCCGTGCACAAAGCTAGTTTCTATGTAGAAGCGTTTTGGTGACCTACAAGCGTAAAAACATAAATTTTTCAGCTTTAAAGTGCATTTTTAACTACATTAGTTATAAAAATAGTGATTCTACATATAAGTATTTTGATTATCTAAAAGCATAAAAACGTAAATTTTTAAAGCGTGATGTTGACTAAATTGTTACTCTCTGCTGCCTCAGCTTGCACTAACTAGTTCAATAAACATATCGAAACCCACCCCCGCATAGAGTTAACCCACTTACGTCGAGGTCTGGGCCCATACAAGAGCCTGGGGTTATACAACAAATCCGGATTAAAAATACATAAAGGCCCAGCCCATTCTTAACTGATTGCTACGGTCCACTGTCACTTGCAGAACACTGAACAGAGTCCCCCGACGATTCCGACAAACGTCCAACAAACAAACAAAAACCAGGGCCCTCCCTTCACCTGCAGCCTCAAACTATAACACGAGTGCCAAACCAAACACCGGCGGCGATCGGCACAGTTTCACCCCGGCGATGGCCGCCACTCCCACTACCTACTGCTCTTCTCCCGCTCTCAGCGGCTCGCTGCCTTCCGTCAGACGTTCTTCTTCCTCTGTTTTCCCCACCCGGACCTTTTTCCGCCCCGTTTTCTCCATTGACGCACCGCTCCCGAGGTTCGCCGTCTCCGCTCACTCCCCCGACAGTGGGAGCGGGCCTGGTCCACTCAAATCAGCGTTGGAAGCGGATTTGGTGGAGACGGGATCGTCCTCGTCGTCGTCTTCGGTCTCCTCGTCTATTGATTTTCTCACCTTCTGCCACCGTTTGAAGGTAATTGGAATAAGGGAAACGTTTGAATGAGGCGACCTAATTGGTTTGATTCGGGGATATCTATTTTTTCGCAGACCACGAAACGGAAGGGGTGGATTAATCATGGAATTAATGGCGCTGAATCGATTGCCGATCACATGTACCGCATGGCTCTCATGTCTCTGATCGTCGGTGACATTCCCGGTGTCAACCGAGAAAGGTTGGTGCTTTGTACCGCATGAGTTTTTCATGTAATGATGAAATTCACTCTCTTGGTCATTTGATTTCACTGGTTTCTCGACCAGTGATGCCCGAAATGGGATTGGTACCATGGGAACTTTGCCTAATTCGTAGCTAGCAAGCAGATGTGGGATTACTAGGTGGCGTAGTTTTATGAAGGCTATTCTACTGGTCCAGGAAATTACTTTGCAGAAACGGGAAACTTTATTGAATTCTTTTGCAGTGTAGACAGCACTTTTCTCTATTTCATTGGGGCTTAATGGACAGATAGAAAGACTGCGTGCATGACTGGAGAATGTGATTTTGATCTGGTGCTTTCTCTTAACATTTGGGTGCTTTCGGTTTGCTTCTCACAAACCTGATTTGGTAGAGCAATGAGTTTTATTGTTTTGTTAGGGTACTGGGTTGCTTGATGCAGTGTGGATATGTAACTGAGATTTACTTGCTAAACTTATTTGGTTACCTTATTTGGCGCAGATGTATAAAGATTGCAATCGTCCATGATATTGCAGAAGGTATTATCTTGATTATGTTCTCTCTACTGTCCTTCTGATGGTTGATGGGGTTGTTTCTTGCGGATCGAGATTTATTGATTTGAGGCCTCAATCACTTCATACGGTAATTAAAATGAACTGACAATGCATATGATTGGCTGTCCGAAGAGTTTTGCTCTAGAAAGATAGTCACCATCTCTAGGTGTCAACTGAGAATTGCAAAAATTCTACATATCTATACTTCTTGGTTGTAGATAAGGGTGGGCTGTCTAGGATAGCCAATCTGCCACTATTTTTAAGAGCCGCGTTCCTCTAATTTGAAGGTTCATTATGTGATCATAGTGAGATCAATGAGAATCAGCTCCTGCCTTGTTGAGTGAACTTCTACTCATTGCTAATTATGCAGACATGTTCCTGTATTGGCATCTGAATTCTTGTTTCCACTTTTTAATAGCTATTGTTGGAGATATAACACCATCTGATGGTGTGCCAAAGGCAGAAAAAAGCAGACTTGAGCAGGCAGCTTTGAAAGAAATGTGCAAAATGCTTGGTGGAGGAATGAGGGGTATTTGCCGATCCTTGATCTTGATTTGAGATTTGAATTGTTTGTAATAAATGTTTGCTTACTGCAGCTGAAGAGATCAAAGAGCTGTGGTACGAGTATGAAAACAATTCTTCCTTGGAGGCTAACCTTGTCAAGGATTTTGACAAAGTATGTATAGACTGAAAACTGGCGTGGATAGTATGTTTCCTTGTGTAAAGAATGAGTTTAAGACTTAAGAAGCCTCCAATCAAAGCCCATTGCTATCTGTATTATGAGGTTGGCATGTTTTGTTAACGCTAGATTACACATCTTTTCGGCAGGTTGAGATGATTTTGCAAGCATTGGAATACGAAACTGGTTAGTTACAGATTGCCCTGTCTAGCAAAATACCAATTACTCCCATAAGCAATTTTCCCTTTTCTCACTTTAATCCCCATGCACTCTTTTATCTTTGCAGAACATGGGAAGGTGTTGGACGAGTTTTTCATTTCAACTGCAGGTAGAACTGTAAATTCATTACATATTCTCAGAACTCCCATTATACGATCCCATTATGCTCTGATTTTTCTATGATTGATGACATTCTTCCCAATCTGGCATCTGTAGGGAAGTTTCAGACCGACTTAGGAAAAAGTTGGGCAGCCGAGGTCATCTCCAGAAGGAAGTCCCACTAAGGCAACTACCTTTAAGCTGATCTTCTTATTATGCATCCAGTCCTTGCTCTCATTCAATGGCGTGCCAAGGTTTTGGATGCAACTCTCACAATCACCAACTCTTTATCAAAACTATCGGTTGAACGATTGATGATCCGTGGAACGAAAATCAAGGCATTCGACGCGAGTAAGGACAACCTGTGGAAAGAAATGTGAGGGCCATCCGACAGTAGTAAGTGTTAACATCAGACACTCACCGGTTTTTGAAATCCATTCATCCTGTGCTAAGATACTAGCCGACTACTTGCCTTGTATCGGCATATGAAGTTTCCTCATCGATGGCGCATCATGTGACCGTGTAGACTATTTTTTTCTTCTGAACATGGTCGTGTTTCTTCTCATGGTGAAGGTTGAGCAATAAGGAATCAATGTTTTGATATTGCTGCTTAAAATACGAGGCCCTTCCTAGTTTTACCATCCATTATTTTTTCATTGAATGTCGAATAAGCATCGTTATAGAGGGAAGTGCTGTTATTTTTCCTAGAGTGTCTGCGAGAACGTACTCACAAATACTTTGTCGTTAGATCGGGAGGCGGATTTTCGTCAACTATCGGATGACACAGAGGACTAAGCTTAGTAGCAAAATCAGTGTCAATCCTAGTTTTAGTATATCTTGAAACATCTATCTTATTTAGCAACTAAAGAAGGGCCATTTAGAGTCGAACTAATCATTTGTCATGAGGGAGATTTTATTTTAATCAGCGGAAGATCCAATCCAGCACAAAAGGCAAAACTTGACTTGGGCAACTCTCTCTCTGATTATCACAACATTAATCTATTGGTTGACATGATGATCATAGAATAGCTCAAGAACACCATCCACTCAAACAAAACAACAGGCCACGTGGGGGGATCTGTCTTCAACATTGTGCTTTTTTTTTATGACACTTGTTTGTCCATGGAGTTATGTCACTCATTCCCCACTTATGCAAAATGACTTTACTGCGCGTGTTTGACTAATTTCGCAAAGTAAAAAGTGTAATTTTTTTTTTAAACCGTACTGTATTGGTTGTTTGAAAAACTTTATATCGGTAGACAATTTTGACGATAAATAATGATTTTGCACATCAAACGTTCTATGAATTTTTCCGATTAAACTTTCAGTATGATTTTACAATCCTTATTTTCTAGTTCTTTGACTCCTTTCTTGTGCATCCAGATGTATATATATGCACCAGAGGATAAACATGAAATGCATCACAAACTCACAACCCGAACAGTAATTTCTCAAGTCAAAATTAAATTACAGAGTCCACATACATACTTGGATGTGGATTGTGGAGTGTCAATTCGACGGAAAGTCTAAAACCTTTTCCTTTTTTGTAAATAAAGGAAACCATAAATCACGGATTATCGAGTTATTTACTCCCCTAATATAAAAACAGAAACTGTGACGTTACAGTGAAGGAAAGCGTGCCTACCTTCCTTAACCTTAGAGGGCACTGATGACGCCATGAGGTTTTAACTCCGAATTCTGCGTAATTCCTTTTGGTATATTTTCATATGCTCGTTTGCTGTCTCCTTTGGCGGTTCTCTGTCAGCAGTGCTACTTGTGATTTCCGGGACCCACAGCTCCGTGTTCTTATGAAGTCTCGAGACTTTGTCTTTGAGCGAGAGGAAGAGAATTCCCCCCTTTGCAGAGAGGAAGACAATAGAGAAAAGGTTGAAGGAGAATTTTAGCCTTATATTGACCGTTATTCGAAACTTCTCTGCTGTGACATTTTCCCATTTTCCACTACTGGTGGCGCAGGACGAACGCATGCAAGTACAAGGTAAGACAGTCTACCGAGATCTTTTTGCCATTTGGGTTTTCTTTCTGAACCGCTTCTGTGATATGGGTTTTGCTCCATTTTGGCGCTAGGATATTCGTTCAGAAGAGCAGCGAAGATTGAGTTGTGTGGGTTCGTCTGGTATCGAATCGGTTTTTTTGATCGGTTGCTGATTTTCTTGCTGGGTAGTATTGTAGTGGTTTTGATATTGCTTTTTTACTAGGTAGCTTAGTTGGGTATGACTTTGGCCTCCGCAAGTAACCGAGTATTTTTGGTAAAATAAGGTTTTCCGTGTTCTGTTTTTGGATTGGATGCTGGTGGTAGCAATTGGTGATCGGAAACTTGCTTGGCTGATCTGGGTTATAGCTAAAAATCCTTAATTTTGCTTCAAGATTGCTAATTGTTTAGACTCTGCTGAGCTGTGATTCCTGTGTTTATATTTTACAGCAAACATCTATACAGTTCTGGGTTTGAGCTTCAGTGTAGATGATGATCTGTGTAGTTAGGCGCTTTCGTTTTCGCTTCCTACATTGCTAGATAGAATTCTGGGAAGAAGACGAACTGAACCAGCTTCCAATTTTGGCATTTGAATTAGGTGATTTGATAGGAAAACTTGGATTGAATTGATTTGGTTATATAATACTGATGGCAACAGTAGCTCCAGCCCCGAATCCTCCGAGTCCTGCTGCTCCTACACCTTCCGGAACTGCAGGATCACCCCCACCATCCATCTCATCACCACCACCACAATCATCCTCTCCGCCACCTACTCAATTAACATCTCCACCTCCACAAGATGATCCTACACCGCCGCCACCATCATCAAAACCTCCACCACCAGCAACACCATCGACTCCACCGCCATCTAATTCACCTCCTCCTAGTTCTCCACCACCATCACAACCTTCTAATCCACCACCTACACTGCCTCCTCCAGCACCACCATCTGAACCACCCACAAGTGCTTCTCCACCTTCGCCATCACCACCGCAGCCACCACCAAATTCGCGTCCTCCACCACCACCACCATCCACGCCTGCCCCTGATATCCAACCTCCACCATCATCTAGTCCACCTGAAAGTTCACCGCCACCACCACCACCACCAGAAACCTCATCACGACCACCTAGCAGTTCACCCTTACCACCTAGGAGTTCACCTCCTCCACCACCAACTTCAATTCCACCAAGAAGTTCACCTCCACCTCCAAGTAATGCTTCATTGCCTCCTACTACCCCTACCCGACAGTCACCACCTTCTGGACCAAATTCTACTCAATCTACTCCACCACCAGTAATCAGACTGTCTCCACCTCCTCCGTCACGGAATTCTCCATCATCCACTTCTCCCCCATCATCTGTGAACAATGATACTATTCCGAATGCACCTTCTAATCAAAACGGCGGAAACAGTGGTATTGGTACTGGTGCTATTGTGGGTATTGGAGCAACTGCAGGAATCTTAATGCTCAGCCTTATTTTGGTGATCGCTTGGTGCTTAAAGAAACGCAGGAGATCTGTCTCCAGAGTCAATGGCGATTATGTGATGCCTTCACCTTTTGCATCCTCCCCTATATCAGGTGAACAAGTATTTCAATATTAATTTTGCTACTGTTTATTGGGATGTTGGAATGATAGCATAATTTGGAAGTGTGCGTTACTTCTCAAAATAATATGATCTCATATTTTGAAAATACCTGTAGTCAATCCATAACTATTCTTGAAGACATTCATTGATTCCGTGCTGTTATGAAGCCTGCAGTCCACGTGAAATTACCTGATATGACAATCATAATGATTTGCATGAATACATTTAATAAATGGTTTTCTTTCAGTACTGATATAAATGTACCAGTATTTATAAACCTAAGTCATCATGGTTGTTGAAAATGATCTAATCTGTACAGCTAAAATAGGTTAACTTTTCCCTTTCTGTTAATAAAGCTAAGAGGATGTTCTTCTGAAAGGTTTTAATTGCTTTTCCAGATTCCAGTAACACAAAGACCCACTCTACTACAGCTCCCCTGATGGACAGTGCTTCTAGCAGTGACTTCATTTCTTCACCAGCAGAGCCTGGTGAACTGGGGCACTCAAGGTCTTTGTTTACATATGAAGAAATGGTAACAGCAACCAATGGCTTTTCGACCCAGAATTTATTGGGTGAAGGTGGATTTGGATGCGTATATAAAGGTTGCCTACCAGATGGGAGAGAGGTTGCAGTGAAGCAACTCAACATACGAGGAAGCCAGGGTGAAAGAGAATTTAGAGCTGAAGTTGATATCATAAGTCGAGTACACCATCGTCATTTGGTTTCACTTGTCGGTTATTGCATCTCGGACAGCGAAAGATTGCTTGTGTATGAATATGTCCCTAACAATACCCTTGATTTCCATCTCCATGGTAAAAAAGTTCAGTTTTGTAATTAACAATTCTTATTACAATTACTGTTTGCTTGAAATGTATTCATGTTGGTTCTTATACTTTTGTAGAGGAAGGTATACCTGTTTTGGACTGGCCACATCGTATCAAAATAGCTGCAGGTGCAGCTCGTGGATTAGCTTATCTGCACCAAGACTGTATGTACTTTTCATCTCTTCGTATTGGTGTCCGTATAATCCAGTCACAAATGCCTTACACTATTGTTTGTGCATCTTAACAAACCAGCTCACATAATCTCAGCATTCAGGCTATGAAATCCAAGTACTTTTTAGTAGTCTGTATTGGAGATAGAGATTTTCATTTTGTGCTTTGTTATTTTACATGTAGGTAATCCTCGGATTATTCATAGGGATATCAAGTCGTCAAACATTCTTTTGGATATCAACTTTGAAGCCAAGGTATGCATAATTTGTAATATAGAGTTGCCGATGTGTTATTAAGCATGCATAATACGATTTAAACATTTGGACTTGATTGAGCTACAGGTTTCAGATTTTGGTCTTGCCAAGTTAAACCCTGATGCCTATACACATCTGACAACACGTGTTATGGGAACTTATGGGTAAGGCGCCTTTTTCATCTTTGTTTTAGATTCATCGAAACCTTCATGAGGTATGATACCTTCTTTCAGTATTTTGACCAGAATTAAACTGAACCTGTATGTTTGATTTTGTCATTCCAGATATGTCGCCCCAGAGTATGCAACAAGTGGCAAGTTAACTGAGAAGTCTGATGTATACTCATTTGGAGTTGTGCTCTTGGAGTTAATCACTGGGCAGAAGCCACTGGATCCTACCCAGTCGCCAGGAAAAGAGAGTCTAGTTGAACGGGTAATTGGTTCTGTCAACTTACTTTTCTCCAGCTTTTGAAAGTCCAAAGTTCCATGCCTACTATACTGTTGGGATAATGTTCTTAGGAGATGAAGCGTTCATGGGAGCTTTCGACTGTGGAAATAGAAGAAGCCTAACTGTCTTAACTTATTTCTGACTAGTCTTAACCGGAACTACTGCCATAGTATAAATTGTTTTCATATTTATCCAAGAATTCATGTTTAATCTAAGATCTTATGTAGGTGAAGACCAAATCCCGTCAATAGCTTTATGTGTATTTAATGAGTAGAAAATTAGAATAAACACGCGACTTACAAGTTTTGGAGGCCTGGAACTTCAACAGGATTTGGTGCTCAGATATTTGAACTTTACCTTTCCAGGCACGACCTTTCATGAGCCATGCACTAGTCAGCGGCGAATTAGGAGGTCTAATCGACCCAAGGCTTGACAAGAACTATGTTGAAGAAGAGATGTTCAGGATGATTGAGGCTGCTGCAGCCTGTGTTCGCCATTCTGCTGCCAAGAGGCCTCGCATGGAACAAGTGTGTATAATCTAATCAATCAACTTGTGGATGATATCATGGCTGGCTTCATCTTTCTTAAATTATGCTCCCTCTATTGTTATGTTTCTCAGATTGTCAGAGCTCTCAGCGATATAGCTGCAGCAGATTTAACCAACGGAATGAAAATTGGAGAGAGTGAGGTAATCAGAACACCAGAAGAGTCGGAGCAGTTTAGACTCATGCAAAGGATGGCATTTGGCAGTCGAGATTTTAGTTCAGGTTTTTTTAGTCATAGTAGTATGACCAACAGCCAAAATGACAGACTAGTATGAAAGTAAATTTTGGTAGGGATGGAAATTTAGCTGTGAATTACCCTGCAGAGTTCAGAGGCTGAATGAGAGCTTCAGAGTGATCTTCACTATTGGGGTAAATAGAATTGTCAGCCTCTGGAGTGGAGGCCAAAATCAGGTTTAGGAAATGGCTCATTCCTCAGCGTTTCTAGTAACTGGGCTAAGGGTTAGCTTTTCCACTATACCCTTCTAGGGTTTTGATTACTGTAAGTTACCCCCACCCGAAATATTTGTAAATGCTCAATTTTGCAATCGATTCGGATCAGGATTTTTCATTCTGGGTTTCTGTCAGTTGTTTGAGTTAATTCTTACAGAATGGATATCGATGTCATTGAGATCACATGATGACTTACCTGGAAAGCATGGATATATGTCTCTGCAACAGAAAGCCGGCAGTAATGGCTGTGTTGACACCAGAAAAAGGGTCACTCAACTAAGGAGGACAACTGATTCTCAGAATTGTCAGGTGAAAATGAAACAATTTGATGGAAAAGCAATCCAAAGATCCAGCTGGGCAACTGGGAAAACAAGCAGAGCATATGGTGGCCGAGGAAGAGAAAACTGTCCTAATCAGCTGTTACGGGACAAAAGAATAGCAACGGAAGGCAAGGAAAGAAAAGTCTGCAAACCACTCCAAGACAAGACGAGGAATGAAGTCACCTAAGCAAGCAACCCTCCAAAATCCCCTTCTCAAACCCTCAGAAAAGCAATTGAAAAAGAGTAGATCACAAGATTCTAATACTGAAATCCAATCCCACACATCTACCAAACCTTTCCCCAATAATCAATTCTCAAAAAAAATGTGAACCCTTTTGCTGATCATCATCATCAAACCATCTTCAAACATCTCCCTGCTAGCTTTGCCACCCATGGCAGCTACGGAGGACTGCAACCAAATGGCTGCAGACTGTGTAGTGGTATCCTGCTGCTGCCAATGCTTGTTCCTGCAGTTCCTCATCTACGTGTTCCTCAAGCTACCAAGGAGGCTGCTCGAGCGAACAAGGGACTACGCGAGAAAGAAGCTGATGAAGATGAGGAGCAGGAAGAAAATAGAGACAGAGCTAGTGGGGAGAAGAACTGCCAAGTTCGGAGAAATCTCTGCTGATGTATACAACACCGAAGAATCCATGTGCATTGACATAGGCCTGTTAGAGGAGTTCAAGAAATCCAATGCCGATAATAAGAACATCATTGAACATGTGCAGATGGGTGAAGATCGTCATCAATGCATTGAGGAAATAGAGAGGGTGTTGGATGAGTACCACGCTAGAGGTGAGTTTGGGTTTGGGAGCTTTTGGAGGAAGGAAGTGTGCAAAATGGGCTCACCATCTTCCTCGTCGTCATCATTCTCATCATCGTCGCCAATGTCTTGGGGAAGATCAACAATGGCTTCTCCACGTCCATCACATAATTCGACTTCATCATCGACGGGAAGGAGTAGTGGTGGAGGTAAAAAGCAGAAGAAGAGGAAGGAGTCGGGGGGTTTGAGAGTTGTGCAGTTTGAATTGATTGAAATTGTTCATTCTTTATCACGTTCATCATATGGATCGTTTCAGAAGATTGAAAAGTTGCTAGATTATGAGAAATCACCTTCAGGGATTTGGAGAAACATCAATACATCATGAGCTTAGTTTGCTTGTGAGTTTGTTTCATATTTAGCATTTTTATGTTCTTCTCTCTGCAATCAGGATAATGGGCAACCAAAATCTGGTCATTATGAAGGGACTATCTTGATTGCAATTTATGTTGGTTGTCCCTGCATTCCTTATATTAGTTGGGAATTTTCTACACAAGTATATGAATAATTTGTTAAGCTTTAATCGAACTCTATTGTGTAAAGCACCACATTTAGGTCTCCGACTAATCGTATGGCGTGTGATGCAAGGAAATGAAACCAACGAGTTTATTGGAGAAGTTGAGTTACTTCCTCCTGCAAGCTCTTACTGCAGAAGATATCATGACGACGACCAATGGCTGAGCTAAGTTCATATTCTCCCTTAGCTAGACGAATTTGACCGACGACCAGCATAATCACTTGTGTTCTTGGCAATATGGCAGGAGAGCAATAGTAATCTCATGATGGTTAGAGATTTAAAATCCCAGAAAAACTCATTGTTCATCTTCTTCCCCAAAAAAAAGCAATGAGAGACACCATTATCAACCTCAAAGTTGACGATAGTCACGAGATTCGACGATTCTTTTCTTGATGTTGGATTTTTTTTTTTTTTTTTTTTTTGCCATAGATCGGGAATGAAATAGATATTACAGGACGCTAGAAAACCAGACGCGACAGTCGACACAATATCGAGCTGTCGATGAAAGGGCATTAGAAGTCACTAAGTGGGCAGCCCTGTTGTACAACCTCTGCGTAAAAGTACAAATAAAGAAATTAAAAGACACAGACGCCAAACAAATCTCTTCCAAGATCGCTCCACCTGTCGCATGCGCCACATCACGAGATTGAATCATAATGGATGGATACTTGTATGGTTAAGGGAAACTACGTGCCCCCCTGCAAAAACAAACAAACCCACAAGCGCCCATAGAGGAGGACAACTAAGCTCCACCGAATGGACTTAAACAAGCCATTGAGGCTTAGTCAGATACTCCGTACCAAAAGCTAACAAGGTCAAAAGAAAAACATTTTTTATTACTTTTTTTTTACAATAAAGTTAATGAAAAGTTTATAAATACGAGCAGTTAAGGAAAATAAATTAAAAGATTTTAGAATTATAATTCTGGAAATAAATAAATATTAAAATTAGAGAGGAAAGAGAAAGAACAAGCGTATCTGAAACGGATCGTAGTTGGAATCCCTTCTGGATTTGTAACCGATGCTCTGGAATTGTAACCGTCGGACCCCAAAACTGAATCCTCCTAAAGTGTAACTACCGGCCGTCGGGATTCGCATCGTCGGAAGCACACTTGGGGACGCCGGCGTAAAGGTCGTCGCCTTGCGGGTGGTTGATGATGGTCCCGGGCCTGATACCCCCGCCCGGGCTCGTCGAGAAGAGGCGGTTCTTCATCGAAATTAGCAGCGGAGGGAACGGGGCCTCCACCGATGGCGCCGCTGCCGTAAGAGGCGGTGGGTTTGTTTTCAGGAGGAGCGGTGCCGGAGGAAATCACGGACTTCCGCATCAGAAAGAATTACTAGAGTTTTTGTTTTGTCGATACTCTCGCTAGCTTTTCGGCAAAAAATGGACGAAGAGGCTTTGAGAGTACGTAAATTAATTTTATTCTTTTGTGATTTTTTTTTACATGGGTGCTAAAATTTAAATTGATTTGATTTTATATTTTTTTATAGATGGGTGCTGAAATATACGACCCTCGATTGTATATCGATCCTGGCCCAAGGGATCGAAGGTATTTAACCGGGCAAGATCAACATCGCTCCCGTTCAATTTGGAACAATAATCCGGTAGACACACTAAATTTATTTCAATAGTTTTAAAGTTTTTATTTTGCTTTCTATTGACTGATAATATTGTGTTTTTTGTTTTGTAGGAATCACTTATTCCCATCGCTCATCGAGGGACATGTCGATTGCCCCGTTGGCATGATCGACTGCAGCCCTATATAGAGAGGACGGGATTGCACATGCTGAGGCACTTTACGAGACTTGATATTGACAACGATCTGCTGACGGCAATGGCAGAGCGATGGCGCCCCGAGCTGCATACCTTCCACTTTCCCGAGGGTGAAATGACGATCACCCTGAAAGATGTTGCCATCCTCACCGGGCTCCCGATCACCGGAGATGTCATCATCGACAGCTCGAAAAAACCGGAAGATGGTTGGGTGCCGTTGATTCTAGAGCGTTTGGGGTTCAACATGCCGACCACCACGCCCGTCGACGGGGTTGGGCATCCACCACTGAATGCGGGGCAAGTATCGGTCCCGTGGCTTGTTGACCACATCCAAATGGAGGTTAATATAGGCCCCGACACTCCTGAAGATCATGTGGAGCGGTATGCACGTGTCTACCTAATTGGTTTGGTTGGTGGGTTTCTGTTCCCCGACAAGTCAAACCGGTGGATACAAGGCATGTGGTTAAATATGCTCCTCGGTGACTGGGACGAGATCGGGAAAAAAAGTTGGGGGTCGGCCGTCTTGGCTGGGATCTACCGAGAGTTGTGTACTTGCTCGAGGTTGGGAGCGAAACAAGCTGGTGGTGCGATGTTCATACTCCAACTCTGGGCATGGGAGCATCTTCCGTTTTTAGCACCTCGAGACCCTCGGGAATTCTGGTTGCTAGATGATGAGCTACGATTTGTAGCAAATCCCCCATATGGTTTCAAGTAAGTTTAATTTAAGTTTAATTTAAGTTTAATTTATTTTAGATATGCAATGGTAGTATTTTAGTGAATTTAGATCTATTCCAAGTAAGCGAATTTAGTGAATTTTAGTGAACTTAGATATCTTTCAAGTAAGCAAATTAAGTGACATTTTAGGTCTGCAATTATAGTATTTTAGTGAATTTAGATATCTTCCAAGTTAGCAAATTTAGAATTTTTCTAACCAAATCGTATTTAGCTAATTTAGATTATTGCCAAGTAAGGAATTTGAGTTCAATTTATCTCATTCCATACAATCATACTTAACAAGTAAACATCTATGCCATAAAAATTGCTTATATACGTACTTTTGCTTAATTAGGTGGATCAGAGCAAATACAAACAACCACCAGCCCGAACACTCTTTGCTGTTTTATCGTGCTGAATTCGATAAGCCTTGGTGGAACCAGGTAAAAATACTTAAATTTCATCATTTTCAATTTTTTAGGTGGAGTGGATATAATTTGTACTAATTCCATGAACTATAATGATTGTAGGCGGTATGGGATCCATATCCAAATGAAGTGGTTGAGTTGCATCGTCTTAGACATCCCGAGGATGAAGAGACATGGTTGTGCAAGGTGCTCTTAATCTGCTTCCACATGGTGGAATGGCACCTGCCCGATCGATCTTTGAGGCAATATCGATTGGAGCAACCAATTCCAGCATCCCCACCTCAAGGGTTCAGGGAGCTCCACGCCATTGACCTACGCCACACCAAAAAGGATTGGCAAAAGAAGCATGAATTCTACATCAACATATGGGAGAATCGAAATCAGTGGGTGGTCCAAGGGATGCCGGAGACAAGGCCAATGGGGTACCACGATGGCTACATGCGGTGGTATCGAAATTTCACGCTCAGATGGGTGTCAAAGCAAGGTGTTGTTTGGGGCGCAGTGGTAAGTGAATTCCATTTTGGCCTCTTTGTCTAAATTTTTGGAAGTATGATTACATGCCTATATTAGCTAGAATGTTAATTAATTAGTTAATTTTTAGAAGTATGATTACATGCCTATGTTAGTTAATTTTGTACAACAATGTCTAAATTTTTGTATGATTACATGTCTAAATTTTTGGAAGTATGATTACATGTCTAAATTTTTGGAAGTATGATTACATGTCTAAATTTTTGGAAGTATGATTACATGCCTATGTTAGTTAATTTTGTACAACAATGTCTAAATTTTTGTATGATTACATGTCTACATTTTTGGAAGTATGATTACATGTCTAAATTTTTGGAAGTATGATTACATGCCTTTGTTAGATTTAAGGATGCCTCTTTGTCTTAATGTTAGTTAATTTTGTACAACAATTTATTAGGTTGACGATTTGGAACATGCCAAGCACACTGTCGAGAGTGCACCCACCATGGATGAGCGGAAGACCTCTTTTTTGCGCAGGCTTTTCAACAACCTGTTCTGTTGTACCCGAGAGCAAAGGATGGATGTCGTATTATACCCTCCAATGCCTGCACCGCCCCGACCGTCATTCCGTGCTGATGAGAGGATCGTGCCCCCACAAGAGCCCCCACGGAGGAGCAGAAGAAGGGTGAGAGAAAACATTGAAGAGCTTTGTCCGTCTCAACAAACTCAACTTCCTGAACCATGGCCACATTGTGAGTGGGCAACTAGTACTGAGGGCACCGGAGGGTCGTCAAGCTATGCCCCGACTCAAGAATCTGACATGTTCGCCCAAGGCACCCCTCACTTCCACCACCAGCAACAAACTGCTCAGTATCAGACCCCGCTTCAACAACACACATCATCGACTTTCCACCACGCTTCTGGTTCATCTCAGCCTGTTCAACCCCCACCACCTGTCTACACTCCGGTGGGTGGTCGGGTTAAGAGGAATCCGCGAGGAGTTGTCCAGCGGGCTCGTGAAGAAGGAGGAGGTAGAGAAGGCGGAAGAAGGGGTCGAGGAGGTCGTGGAGGAAGAGGAAGAGGAAGAGAAGGGGAAGTGGAGGAAGAGGAAAATGAAGAGAACCAGTGAACTATCTATGTCGTCTTAATTATGTTTGGTCTTGTGTTGTTTTTCCATGAACTATCTATGTCGTCTTAATTTGGTTTGGGATTGTGTTGTTTTCCATGAACTATCTATGTCGTCTTAATTTAGTTTGGGATTGTGTTGTTTTTTCCCCCATGTTGTACCAAAGTAAACAACAGACACCATTCATTACAATCACTCAACAAGATTAAAACAAGAAGTCCAACTTAAACATCACAACAACGAAAATGAAAAGGAAGTGAACAAAAGAGTACTCAAGGTTGGTTTGTACTTGGCCCCGAATCTTGCTCTAGAGGTGGACCTGGACAACGCCTCTTGTCATGACCCGGTTGTCTGCACTTTGAGCAACATTTTGGACCTCGTCAGGCACGTTGTGATTGATCCATTTCATTGTGAATCCTTTCGGTCCTAGGACGACCTTTGGTGCGCTTTAAGTGCAACAGTGGTATAATCAACTTCCCATTGTCTACAGGCCAATAAGCTTCATCCGGCAGGGGGCTGAAACTTGCCGAGTAGGAGTTCTTGATCGCCTGTTCCGTGTAGTAAGGACTAACCAAACTGTAAGCGCTAAGGGTTATCGACTTAGCTACTGCCATTGCATGTGAACAAGGTACTCTTATGTTTTGATACTTTTGGCATGTACACTCTCCGGTGCGAGTTTCTACGTGTAGAGTAACGGATTGACGATTGTGCCCACGTCTTCCTCCACCCCATATACCTGTTTGCACAGCAAAAATACCTTCATTGCGGTTGAACAGAACAACTCTGTGCTTACTTGATTTTTCCTCGATCTTCTGCATGCCATCAAATATATGACGTGCTATTGAATGACCAGCACGCTCCCTCCCTATAGCGAGATCCCGTCTTTTCACAAACCACTAGTTTACCTTCCAGTATGTAATCTCCACTAGGACAGATACAGGCATTGCCCTAATGCCCTTGTAGACTCCATTTATGCTCTCGCCATGGTTGGTAGTTGCAATGCCGAATCTAGCCCCGTTGTCCATGTGAAATGTCCACATGTGCAGATCTTGACCTTATGCCCATATTGCTCCCGCCCGGTGTATCTGACGGATCGTCTTCATCTTCTGCTCGTACTTCTTTGGTTGATGTGCAACCGCTACAAGACCGGAGAATAAATAATTAAGCCATAAGAAATTTCATTTCAACAATAAACCATGAAGAATCGACTGAACTACATTACTACCTGCACTCCACAATTGATCTCTTATGTCTTTCTTCTTGCCAAATTTGTGTTGGAAATTGGCAAGGAAGTGACGAATACACCAGCGCCATGTCCATCCCCATTCGTCGGGAAAACCATTGACGGCGTGTTTAATCCCGGCATGTCGGTCCGATATAATTGTAATACCCATTCTTTGTGTGACGTGGGCGTGTAGCTGGTCAAAGAACCATGCCCAACTTAAGTTGTTCTCCCCTTCAACTAATGCAAATGCTAAGGGGAAAATACTTAAATTTCCATCAACCCCAGTTGTAATGAGAAGAGTTCCTTTATACTTCCCAGTAAGGAAAGTTCCATCAACCTGTTAAAAATGAATAATTAGTTAGTAAAAATTTAACTTAGTAAGGTAATGAACTAGTACAATATTTTGAGTCTGTAATATACCTGAATCACTGGCATGCAGAAGGGAAACCCGTCAATGCATGGCTTGAATGTCCAGAACAGACGATGAAACATCAACTCGTTCTGTACTCGAACTTGATCTTCAGTTTGCACGTTGTTGTACCACGGCACGAAAACCGTCCCAGGGTTGGACTCCTCCATTGCGGACATTAGTCGAGGGAGTAAAGCATACGAGTCATCCCAATCACCGTAGACCTCAGCCATGGCCTTCTGCTTCCCATGCCACGCCTTCTTATACCTTATGGTGTAGGAATGTCGATCCTTCACCTCGGCCATAATAGCTTTTATCTTGATATCCGGTTGTGCCTCGATTAGGTGCTTAATGGTTCTCGCCACCTTTTTTGCTTTCAGTTGCCGGTGATCCTGTGAAAGTATGGTTGAGGAGCATCTGTGGTTGTTCTCTACTGTTCGAATGACTCAGACGCCCTTTCTCTTCATATATGCAGCCCGAAGTTGCCACTCACAACCCTCTCCAGCATTCTTACAAATGACATGCAATTGTTTGGTGTCAGAATATTTTACCTTCCATTCGAAGTTACGGCGCATGGCTTCTTCGCTAAAAGCATCTTGCACATCGGCTTTCGAAGTGAACGCCATACCCACTTCCAAAGGAGCAGTCGGATTATACACAGGCATGGGCCGATAGTCAGGGGCATCATTCTGACCATATAAAAATTGATCAGGAACCTCTGTGTAGTAAGGCGTTGGTGCCTGACGGAACGCCACCTCTCTGTCATCGATATCGTCGATATCGTCCGTATCTTCCTCCTCACTGACTGATCTCAAATCTTCCTCACTTTCATCGTCACTAGAGGCGAATGGATAGCTCGACTCAGGATGGTCATCGTTACCAGCATAACCAACATCGTCTTGTTGGTCATGCGAAGAATGCCCAGATCGAAGGTTGTTCTCAATGTCAGCCCACGCTGGACCCCAAGCAGGCCATTGATCACCGTCGGGCTGAACGATATTGACGGCAGTCTCACCATGTTGCGGGTATTCTTCCCACCCAACACCTCCTTCATAACTACGTCCTCCGTAGTTGCTTGAAGTACCACCCCAGCCATACCCTCCTGCAGAAGTACCTCCTCCGTAGTTACTTGAACTACCACCCCAGCCATACCCTCCTGCAAAAGCATCATCACAAGAATACTGGTGAGAATGAGTTTCACCGACCGGCTCGGTCTCGACATACACCTCTGCAAGCCGCAACCCGTTGTCAGATAGGAACTGTATCATCATGTTCACCGAGTCATCATCATTTATGACAACTTTTTCGTACATGACTCCGCCAACACTCATGTTTGGATAGCGGTAGGCAATTTGACCAACTCTCCTTTGCCCGCCCGTACAAGTCCTTTCTGCACAAATGTCATGGAGTTCTTGCCACGAGAATCTCGACTCAATTTTTAGCATAGTGGATTCGCCATTTTCATAGTCGATGCCAATGTTCGAGTTTGTCACCCGACCATTCCACCGAATAATAAGCCGAAACTTCTTAAATTTAACCATGTCTGCAATTTATAATAATTAAGTATAGTATATAATTAGTACATTAGGGATACAAAAACAATATCATCCAAACCCACAAACAAACGCATGTAATTGATCTATCATGAGAAAACTAAACAAATTCATCTAAATTCATAACTAATTAACTAACATCTATCATATCATAATTAATCTAAATATATCATAATATATTTTCCAATAACCGCAATTCACTAAATACAGACATATAATTACTAACACATCAACATGTAAACAATACATAATTATAACATACCGATGCCCGATCTATCATGAGAAAACTAAACAAATTCATCTAAATTCATAACTAATTAACTAAATACACATATAATTACTAACACATCAACATGTAAACAATACATAATTATAACATACCGACTCCCGATCTATCATGAGAAAACTAAACAAATTCATAACTAATTAACTAACATCTATCATATCATAATTAATCTAAATATATCATAACATATTTTCCAATAACCGCAATTCACTAAATACAGACATATAAATTACTAACACATCAACATGTAAACATTACATAATTATAACATACCGAATCCCGACGAGTTTCTTGAGTAGTAAACCAACTCCAAACCAGCTGAGAAAACGACTAATAAAACACTAATTTTTGTACTAATTTTCTGTAAGGTAGCAATAGGGGAAGTGGAGGTCAGTATTTATAGAAAAAAAATTTAGCAATCACCGCTTTGGACAAAAACAGTGATGTGTTCACCGCCATTGTCCTCAGCGGTGATTGCTTGGTAGCTGTGACCTAATTTCCACCTACTAGGGCGCTAAAACGTGTCAATTATCACCGTTTTGGTCCATGGCGATGATATGATCGCTTTACACATCAGCGATGATAAGGTCGAGTATCACAATCACCGTTTTGGTTTAAAACGGTGATGCTATCATCGCTTTAAACAAAGACAGTGATGCAATCACCGTTTTGGTCTAAAACGGTGATAGCATCATCGCTTTTGTCCAAGACAGTGATAGCATCACTGTTTTGGTCCAAAGCGATGATGCTATCACCGTTTTGGTCAAAAACGGTGATTGCCATCACTGTCTTGGTTAGCAGCGGTGATAACCAAACTGCTGTATTTTGGGAAATAATTTTATAAGTACTGTATTTTGGAAATTTATTTTAATAATTAAAGTATTTTGGGATTTTTTCCCCGCAATTTGGCTAAATCATTAATAGTTCATACAGATCCACTTGACCTCTTGAAGATAAGAAAACTAATAAACGGGATTCAAAGTTGACTTCCGAGACTTCAACAACAACGACACTTCTAATTTCTTTTCCCCCCTTTCACATTTCCTCTTCTCTTCTCTTCTCTGGAACATGAACAAAACCCTTTGAATTTAACCAAAACAAAATGATGAAATCAACATTAAAAACAGAAGACAGTAAGAAAGCATCTAACTTGTGCTCATAATTCATCCCCTTTCATTGTGATTGATTCCAAAGTTATGTGCCCAAAACACTTAGCTTTTATAAATTTGTTCGATTTCTTTGCGCAAATACATAGGCTCGAACGTACGTGTCTGTATTCTCGTATACGGAAAACTTCAAAACTGGATTCTATCGTTATGAAGTTAAGAACAACATTCAAGGGAGGTAACTAAAGTAATTAAGGAGAAAAACAAAACACAATTAAGATTAAGCGTTCATTAATCACCATCAATTTTTTTTCCTTTTCCTCTGTACACAGAAAATTAGCCTGGAGAACAAAACAAGAAAAAAATTGAAGAGAATGATGAGAAAATGTAAAAGGTTAATTCATTATGATACACTTGATCCAACCATCCTGTTCCTCTGTTTTTTTTCTTTTTTTCTTCATCCCCTTCTTCCCCCCCTCCACGATCTAGAAAACCGCCGGCAGCGACGGCGACGGTGATCACTTGACGGCGAGGCCGAGAAAATCAGCGGCGGATCTGGCGAGGATGTTGGCGAACTCCTGGAAACTGAGGACGCCGTCCCCATTGGTGTCGGCCTGGCACATCATCTCCGACAGCTCCTTGTAGGAAAGCGGGTGGCCCATCTTGGCCATGGATCCAGCGAGCTCGGCGGCGGTGATGTAGCCGTTTCCGTCGCGGTCGAAGGACCGGAAGACCTCGAGGAGCTGCTCCTGGTTGATGAGGACCTCCTCGTTGATGTCCGGGAGGATGGCGGAGACGAGCTCGTCGAACTCGACGTAGCCGTTGCCGTTGGCGTCGATGTTGGAGAGGAGGGAGTGGAGCTGGTCGCCGGTGGGTTTGAGGCCGAGGGAGCGGAGGAGGGCGGCGAGCTCCAGGTGGGTGATGCTGCCGTCGGAGTCCATGTCGAACCGCATGAAGATGTCCTTCAATTGCTGGATCTGGTCGGATTGCAGTGCCGCCGCCATCATGGTGGCTGGCTGCAGGCGGCCGGAGGGGGAGGAAGGCGGGGAAAGAGAGGAAGTTGGATCGGAGGAGGCCTGAAAACCAAAAGTTGAGGGGAAATGAAGTGAGAAAAAAAACAGGGGAGGGATAATCAGAAGGGAGAAAAAACAGGGGCCAGAGAAACAGGGGAGGGGAATGATAGGATAGGAGACTTTTCTTTTCTAAATGATGGGTTTTGTTATTATTAGGTTTTGCGGTGGCTGCTTTCTTTGATGGTTCCTTCCATTGTTTAGGCTAATGGGGTTTTCAATTTTAACACTGACAGGGACGGTGCTTAGATGGATGAACAATGGAGGCATTGACCAGTAATGTTGTTGGCTGAGTTGGAATGTTTCAATGGCAGAAACAAAAGAAGAAGCGCGTTCTATAACACAACCTCAAATGGGACAATGTTGGCTTCCTTGTTACCACTTACCAAGATGAAAATGGGGATCTTTTTGTTTGGAAAGGAATGAGCTAATGTTTTGGTCCAAAGTTAGGCTTTCGCCATGTTTTCTCTTCTTAATAGATCACTTTGGGTTAGGGGTGGGCAATGGGCGAGTTGGGTGGATTTTGGTCTAAAATTGACCCACCCACTTACTAGTGGGTTGGAATATGTGACCCGCAATCCACTCACATACTTATGTGGGTTGGGTTGGGTGGGTGACAGATGGGTGCGGTTGGGTCGCTGGTTAACCCGCAAAAGCAATTCTCCAACTAGCCATTAAGAAAATTGACTAACATTTATAATAAGTTCATAGCAGATTAGTAAGATTGTATGAATAATTTTTATTTTGATTGTGTCAAAACTATTCTTTATTCTCCACTTTTTGAAGTTGGTCAGACTATAGTGTAGTTCGAAAATATGATAAATATTCGATACTATAAGAAACAACATTTTCCCATGTAAAAATAGGACGCGGGTCATACGGGTGACCCGCAATCCACCCACCATCCACCCACATAAGTGCGGGTGGGAGATTTTACAATCCGCAATCCACCCACATCAATCACCCATTGCGTGCGGGTCGGGTTATTTGCGGGTGGATCGATGTCAATCCGCGGATTAACCACCCACGTGTCCATCCCTACTTTGGGTAGAGTTGGATTTGAATTGAGTGTCAACTCATTTAGGGGCTAAGATCAGGTGACTAAAGGAGGTGTCTTTAGTGATGGCAATGGGGCGGGGCAGGGCGGGTACCTCAATTCCCATGCCCCGCCCGATGCTACTACGGTCGGGGCGGGTAAAACCCGTGCGGGAACGGGGCGGGCGGGTCGACCCACTCTTACATGTTGTTCAAAAAAAAATACAAGTAAATTTTACTTTTTACAATAAAACGTAGGAAAAACACTTTAAAAATGAAAAATATTGATAATATAATGGATAATTGAGTCTAACAAGTTGAAAGATCGACTCTAACTAGTTGAAGAAAAGTCAAAATAAGAGAAATATGTATAGATATTGTAAGAAATTGAGATAAAATGAGTCTAGAACGGGGCAGGGCGGGTTGGAAGTAGATACCCATGTCCCGCCCCACGCTACTGCGGGTCGGGTAATACCCGCCTCATCGCGGATAAGGTCGGGTAATACCCGCAGGGCGGGTTGAAATTGCCATCACTAGGTGTCTTAGTCACATGACTAAGTAAATCTCAACCCTTCCACCTCATTAAAATCTAATGGTTCAGATTAATCTAAATGAATGAAGGGTAATTTAGTAATTGCATAATTATTTTAATTTATAATTATAAAATGAATAAAATAAAAAATTATCCCGTCTCTGTCCCTTCCTACAGCTGCTTTACAATTCCCTCCGCGCGGCCTGAAATTTTTTTCGACACCGAGAACTTTTCCCGTCCCGTCCCTTCCGGCGGCTTCCGTCCCCGTCCTTTCCGACGGCTTGTGCGCTTGGGACTTTTGTCAAAAGACTCCACGGCCTGAAAATTTTTCCGACGCCGGGAACTTTTCCCACGCCTTACGGCGGCTTCCGTCCCCGTCCTTTCCGGCGACTTGTGCGCTTGGGACTCTTGTCAAAATACTCCCCACCTGAATTCCCCCCAGAGAGAGATTTTCTACTGCTCGGAGGAGACTTTCCAACGACTAGTGACGGCGTAAAAGTATTTTCCGACGACAGTGCTGGATTTGTGATGTTTGTTGGTCTATTTTGTGATGTTTGTTGACCTATTTTGTAATGTTTGTATAGATTCGGTTTGTATTGTTTATCATTCCTGTTTGTGATTTTTAGTGACATTTTGTACGGTTAGTATGTTTTGTATTGTTTGTCGGTTTATTTTGTAATGTTTGTACGCTTTGTTATTTTTTAATGTTTGTCGGTTTCTTTTGTAATGTTTGTAAGCTTTGTTATTTTTGTGCACCATGTTTATCATTTTTGTCAACCATGTTTGTAATATTTTTTTATGTCTAAAAAACAACCTGGTTGACTTTTGGATGAAACTCCTCTATATAGGGATGGAGCCTCCAAAGTCAACCCGGGCGTTTTTTCCAGTTTGTATGGATTATAGGTTTAGTTTGTCATTTTTGTCTACCGTGTTCGTAATGTTTGTATGTCTAAAAAACAACCGAATTGACTTTGGGATGAAGCCTTCTATATAGGGATAGAGTCTCCAAAGTCAACCAGTTGTTTTTTTTTTCTTTTTTGTATGGTTTATATTGTTTGTCGGTCTAGTTTGTACTGTTTGTACAGTTCATACGTTTGTAAATCTGTTTGTATGTTTTGTCGTTGTAGTTTGTACTGTTTGTATGTTTGTATGGTTTGTACTAATTGTAAGTCCAGTTTGTATACTTCGTAATTTTCCATAATACCCAAACTACCCCTGTCATTAATTAGATATCCCTTTCCACTTTTTAATCGTCAGATTACTGTGTCCAGATCTAAAGGCTGGGAGGGACTTAGTCAAGTGACTAAGCAACCCCATTAGTCACGGAATCCTCCCTCCTCATTTTTAGATAGGGTCCAATCAATCTATTTGAGTTTAAATGAAAAGAGTTCCCCAAAACCAATCTAATGAGCAGGCAAGCCTAAACTACCACTAACATCCAACTTAAATATAACTCGAAGAAGAATAATAAACTAAAGAGTCGTTAAGATATCAACCACAACTTGATGCGAGTAAGAACTACTATACTATACCACAAGGTTATAAGCGTCGAGAGCAGCTCAAGTGGAATCGGCAGAAAAAAGTACCGTACCTGAGGCTTACAAGCGAACCAACTAAGCGAATATGAAGCACATAAATACAAGTTATGCCTTGACATGAAAGAGAATTCCGAATCAGCAGGCTTTAGGTAAAAAAATATAGCTTGTTTCAAGTCTAACCAAATATATTTAAATTAGAATATTAGGTTACAAGTGAGAGTACCCACATGAAAATCTAACATCATGTCAATGTTCGAGAATAGGGATGACAATTTCGATCTAACCCGTTTTACCCGACCTGTTTTGGGGCGGGACAGGCATGGGTACTCTTATCGACTCGACCTACCTTGACACGCCCCATTCTCGACCGGTTCTTGCCTAAATTAGATGTAATATTAGTCAAATTACTTATGATTTTCCTTTTATTACATCATATTTTAGCTATAATAAAGTTGGAAATTAGTGAAAACCTCAATTTCTCCAATAATTTAACTACATTTATCATAATATGGTTTGTTTTCTTGGTCTTATAATGAAATTAACGAATATTTCTAATGTTTTCCATATAAATTGTATACCCATTGGGTCGACCTGCCCCGACCCGCGACCCATGATAAATTATCCGACCTGCCACGGGGCAGGTATGGGTATCGTGATACCCGCCTCGGACCTGTCCCATTGACATTCCTATTCGAGAACCCTTACCGTACCAGACGATCAAACCGAAAATATCAATACCAATTCAAAAATGGAAGACGGTGTTGACGGTAAGAAACGATTGATCACCAGCTAAATCACGATTTTAGTATAAAATGTTCTATCACTTATTTTCTGCTATAATTTTTGGTACGATTTCATGCATTGTGGTTTATGATTATTATTTTTTTATATATTGGGTCATAATTCGTCAAATTAAATACTAGAAATGGTTCGACACCATGAACTTGGGCCTTAAGAGGAGGTTCGGACCCAATGATTACAAGATCCAGAAGACACAATTCTCCTCAGTCCTCCCAACACAGCTATGGACTTGAACAATAGCTTCAGAAACAAGTAATCTCCCTGCCAAGGGTGAAACATTCTTTTATAAGTAGAGAACCACCACAATGTGGATAATGAATAAATTTCAGTGTAACCTCTCTATTCTATGTACATCCTTACAAATAATACAACAAACATTGGTATAGGTAGAAGATAAACCAGTACTGTCTGTGGTCTATACATTCGCCTCAAAAGTTACCCCAAAAACTTGCTCTACATTTCCCCGGTCATCATCTACCCTATCGATCGATCTCGACTGTGTATAGTACAACTACAACAATCCCAGAATTCTGAATGCTTTCTCCTGTACAGATTCCCTTGAAACCATTCTAACCTACAAAAAAGGATCAAATGCACGAAAGCAGCAAGTCGCCACGGCGAAAGTCCCCCCAACCCAGATTTCCATGCGGGTCATATACAGTCAGGGCAAGGATTCTTTTCCAGCCATGAAGCAACAAGAGGGGTCAAAAGAATATTTTGTTCTAACCAAGCTTCGATCCAACAGATGAGATCACGTGGAGCGACGATCCGACAATATGTCAGCACCTAAACTGCCCTCCCAGCGACTCGATCGTGCTGCCACACGGGCAGTAAAACCAACCGTTTGTGGCCTCAACGACCGCTGCCTGACCATGTCGCAGAACTCTGGGTCCTCCGACTGCCCTTCGTGCCTTATCCACTGAATCATTTGGTGGTACATAGGGAAGAACCTCATTTGAATCGTGGAGTAGGAGAAGTAAGGTATTAGGGTCGTGATCACAGTGAAAAGCGTGATGAGCCAGTAGGAAGCTGCAGGGGCGAGGGCTTCGACGAAGATCTTGTAGGCGTTGTTGGCGAATCCAGGGGACATGGCACCATAGATCATGAGGAAGATGTACCAGAAGGCGATGGATCCCCAGATGAGGATGTGTTGTAACACTGTGAAGTAGTTGATGGAGAGTACCATTTGTAAGTTTACTGTCCATACAATGCACGTGTACATCGTTGCTCCGAAGATGTCTCGTCCAGCTGTCATCCCATCGTCATTGAATGCTTGAATATCCATTGCCTTTGTGCAGAAGAAGAAGATCATGATCGCACTGTAAACGCCATTGATCATCCATGTGAGTATACGGCGCCAGCTGAACAGAACATTCTGTACCCCTTCTTGGTATAGTAGAGGGAACTGCACAAAAGGGAAGGAAAAAAAATGTCATTTTAAGAATCACTCGAGAAAAGAACTCCACAGGCATTATGGGATATGATTCATTGGTTACTAGACTTGGCTTGATAGTTTAGACTTAAACCGACTTCTTAAAACTTCAAGAGACTAACAGATAGTTAAAACTTGATTTTTTGGATGGAGAAGTGGATGTAAGCAACTAACGGTGCATCAATTTTACAAAGTTAAGCGGTTTTCTTACATTGATTCTCTCAGTTCAGTGACGGTATTGAGTTTAATAACCCGGCTTGATGAATGTTGGTAATCAAAGTTGACGAGTTAGTTACCTTGATAGCATCCCGTGATGATACATCCTGGTCGAATACGCCCAAAGCAATCACGGGAAGTGATGTGAAGAAGACGTTGTAGAGCGAGAGAAACCAGTCATTGTAGGCAGGTTGTCCTGAGAATGATGTATATGCCTCATACAAGAACAGAGAGATGCCGAATGTGACATTCTTGTAGAAGAAGTAGCAAATCTGTTGTCATAAAGGGGACAACAAATTATTATTACTTGAAGAAATATATTTTCAATTTCAAGATTAAATTCTATCGAAGTGAAAGTATTACTTACCATTGATGATATCCTTCTGTAACACCAATGTCCATGCACGAGTAGCAAGCGTTCCAGGTACCGAAACTGAGCGATTGCAACGTCACTCGACATGACAGCCTGGGAATTGAATGAAACAAAGAGTCTACATGAGTTTCAAACAAGAAAGAAACTTCCATCCAAAAACAATAATAAAAGGATTAAGTAGAGCATACCTGCATCCCTTCAACACCACTAATTCCAACGCCGATATGTGCTTCCTGAAGCATGCCCACATCGTTGGCACCATCACCGATTGCTAATGTTGTTCTGCCAGTTCCATTTTTCACCAGCCTTGTAACCTGTAATTGTTCCAAAGATCAGTATTGAGCTTAAAGAGTGAAGATAATAGAACAAAAAAGAGTGATTAGTGGCAGCAAAAAGAGTGATGTCCTACCAGTGCTTTCTGTTTGGGTGATGAGCGGCAACAAATGACAGATGCACAACTCACAGCAAGGTCGAGAAACAAGTTCTTAACATCATCTTCCAGAGCGTAAGTGAGCGATTTTCCATCAATTATCAAAGCAAAAGCATCAGCGCTTCCACCTGACACTAGTGCTTTGCCTTCAGTAATTTCACGGAGAACATGCGCTTTGGATACCTGAATGAATTACAATTCAGTTAATACATGGCATCCCGTTAAACTGGACAAGCTCATCAGAACTATATTCCTCAGGAAAATATAACTCTAACAAACTAGAGTAAATTAATTGATGGTACAAAGGTGATATTTTACCTTATTAATGGCGGCCTTATCTCCAGCTATTTCTAATGCTTGGAGTTCTGGCAACTCGAGGTTGATTATGATCTGCTTCATCCCTTGTCGAAGCAAACTACATGCGAAACTGCATATTGACAGCTTTAGTTAGTAAAAGCCTTCATCCTGATACTGATATAAATCAACAAAAGAAGCACAAAGAAAAGAAAGGAACTGAAAAGTGAGATACATACCCAATGTTGATGGCAGTTTCCATTTTGTCACCAGTCAAAACCCATATCTTAATTCCTGCTTGGGCAAGCTTGTCTATGCAGTCAGGAACCTGATACATGAAATACCAAGCAAAATGAATACTCATATTACAAAAATAATCTTCTATTAGAAGCCAAAAAAATACAGATCCTTCTCCAACTTACCCCATTTTGGAGTTTGTCCTCGACAGCAGTAGCACCTAGGAGTATT